CCGGTTTAAGTGTAGACCTAGTCCTTTAGTGTTACTTAGTAGGGTTTAGTTTTGGCCCACTCGCTGAAGCTGTTCACCGTGGAGATAATTCCGCGGTGTTTTTTCGGTGAGGTTAAGGTTTCAATATTTACCTGTCAGGCACTTTGACTTAGTAAGCTATTAGGAAACTAAGTAGGGTATTATTAAGTAAGCAAGAAGGAAAGATTGTTTGTGTATTTAATTTTATCATTTGGCTATTTAACCGTTGCTGATTTAAAGCCGGTTATGGCCTCAGAGAAGGTTAAAGTTAATTATGTGACTGAGGAGACCCTTCTTAGGGTTGTCGATAAAACAAAGTCTGGCAAAATTATTAGTTGGAGGGAGCAATGTGGGAGCTTAACTGAGGAGTTATTTTTGCAGTGTCCCCGTCTCCATGAAGCCGAGGAGCTTTTACGTTTATTTGATTTTGAGCCTTATCAGGCTAAGATAGTTAAACCTACAGATGGAGGCCCAGCTGGGCCTGTAGCCAGTTCTACGGCTGAGCGACAGCAGGGGAGGAGCTCGCCGCATCCGGCCAGCTCCCCAGCCGAGCCCACAGCCGAGTATCGGCTTAGGGCCGTTGACTGTCCGCCGTCCAGGGAATCCCCGCCCGACAGGTCTTATCCTCCTAGGGAATCCCCATCCAGAGAACCCCCACGTAGGGATTATTGTTATCCCTCTTCTAGGGATTTCCCTCCTAATACTCATGGTCCATCTTCCAGGGAACCCCCCCGTAGGGATTATTATTATCCCCCGTCTAGAGAATCCCCTTCTAGTAATTGTGGTCCGCCTTCCAGGGAACCCCCACGTAGGGATTATGTATATCCCCCTTCTGGGGAATCCCGACCTGACATTCAGTATCCTCCCAGGGAATCCTCACCTGGGGGTCAGGGAGAGTACCGGTCGCAGGGGCGCCGGGATTGGCCCCCCCGTCTGCCGAGGTCACTTAATTACGATGGGCGAACAAGTTGGCATTCCTTTCTCAGGAAGTTCACCAGTTATGCTGTATCGTGTCAGTGGAGTCCAAGCGAGTGTTTGGATGCGCTAGGCTGGTGTTTGGAGGGGTCGGCCTCAGATTGTTTTTCGAACCTTAGGGATATGGGCACTAATTCTTATTACCATATGTTAACAGCGATGGGGCGTCGGTTTGGGGCTACCCGATTTCCGGAGGAGGCCATAGCCGAATTTCGGACGGCTCGCCAACTCCCGGAGGAGTCTCTCCTTGGGTGGTCCGATCGGCTCCAAGCTTTGTCCTTTGAAGCTTTTGGGTGGGACCAACGGGGTGACGGCACTCAAATGGTATTGCAGTTATGCCAGGGTTGTACGGATAAGGCGGCGGGTTTAACAGCTCTCAATACGCGCCCGAAGTCCGTCGAGGAGGCCCTGGAAGCCATCAGGTGGGCGCAACATACCCAACGTGTTGTTTATGGGAGCGAGGCTCGCCGTACGTATTCGGCTCCTCGGCAGCAGGTGCAGCAGACTTGCATGTACGATCAGGAGGTGGGCAGTTATGTTACGGTTGAGGAGCCGGTAAGTTATCGTCATACGCAACCCTATCCCCTGAATCGTTCCCCAACAGTTTCCAAAGGTCGAGATGTTCCCCGTCCGGCTCCTGTGGAGGACCGGGGGAAGGTCACAACGCCTTTTGAAGTTCAGGCCAGGAATGACATTGGCTATTTAAAAGAGGAAGTCGCCAGTCTTAAGACGCATGCGTACAACACCGATTGTATGCTAGAAGAAATACTGAAGACTGTTAAGTCTTTGGAGTTGTCTATGCTTTCCCATGCCCGCCCTCTATCTCCCGTGGCTACTGGTGTTCCGGAAAACCTGGAGGGATCGGAGAGCGAGGCCGATCTCCGATCTGGAAACCGAGAGGCCTACAATCGGTAAATACTGGGGTAGTTAATGTAGTTAGTGACCCGCCTGACTCTTCGGTCGGTCCCTTGGACAAGGTAGTTAATGTTAGTGACCCGCCTGACTCTTCGGTCGGTCCCTTTGTCAAGGTAAATAATGTTAGTGACCCGCCTGACTCTTCGGTCGGTCCCTTTGTCCAGGTAGTTAATGTTATTGTCGGGGGGGAGGAGGTACATATGTACTATGGAACAGATTCCAGGGCAGCCTGTATCCAGAGAGTTTGTGTCGCTAGGACGGCCGTGGTGCCTCCTTCTAGTGGGAAGCGGGTAACATGTAAGGTTGTTGGGAGTCCAGGGCTCCAGAGTAAGGACCTTTCCCTTTTCCAGCCCACCCACAGGCTCCCATTTTGGTTTCCTCGGATCGTGTTTGATCGGGGGAAATAACATGTTAAGTATATATATTATGGTTCATTATCAAAGCCATTCACAACGGCTCGTCCGCGAGGACATGGTGCCGGTTCCTGTTCCTGGGAAATAACATGTTTGTCTTAAATATATATATTTTAGTTCACTTTTGTTTACACTGTTTAATTTCATTGTAAATCGTCCATTCTGAGTTCCTGAACTATAAGTGTTGATGTTTTTAAACTGAATAGATAACAATTAAATAAAACTGAAAAGTTTCTGCTTCGGTTAGCGGAGTTATCTATGCTGAATTAGCTACTCCGCTTTAAGAGCTGACTAGGAAGCATTCTTTCCACAGGGAGACAGAGCACTCATGTGTGTTCGAGGCCATAAAACGGCCGGCTTTTGATATCTCCCAAGTGACACTACGTGGTACTGGTTCCAATAATAAGTCAGAATATGATCATGTTTTGGGGGAGTAATTCCTCTGGAGTAATTCCTCTGGATCAACAAGAGCCTTTTGGATTTGCTTGATGGTGTTACGGGCCTGGGTGCCCTGAATGATGTCAGGAACTTGCCGGCAGTGGCTATTGTGCCCCCGGGTGCCGAGTGGCCCAGAGAATGTAATCTTATTTTGTTGGAAGTGTTTTCACCTTCTATATCATTTTCCATCTGATTTCAGTGATCTGCTTTTATCATTCTAATACTTCTTATATGCACCGTTTGGACTGCCTGTAGGGAGCCGTTTGGCTCTCATGTGGGACTGCCCAGTTTCTGGACATTGTACCATCCAAACTGCACTTGGGGAATGGGGAGCCATTGGGCTCTTCCCCTTTTCTGCACACTTATTGCCATTCATCGTTTATGTTGATCACTCACACTTTCATGCTCGGTCACCTTGGGAATTTAATGTAATGCCCCGGTTAATCCCTTACGCCCGTGCCAAGACGTATTGCAATTTTTCATTATGTATTACCGGCACGGTAAGGGTTAACTGGTATATTTCTGTTTCTCTATGCCTGTAATGCCCCCGTTAATCCCTTACGCCCGTGCCAGGACTGCTATTCTTTGTCATTTACACGTGACACCGGCACGGTAAGGGTTAACTGGTATATTTCTGTTTCTTTCTGTTCTTGATCCCTGGGACATTTCCGGGACTTGAATCCTATTTAGTACTTAAATATACCAAATTGTGGAATACAGTGCATTTTACATTTTACAGTGCATTTTACCTGTACTTTACATAATATTTCCCGTACCAAAGTTTGGAATACAGTACGTTATAAGGTATGATAAAGGCGCCCGCCCCCTGGAAAGACTTCACCGGTGCTGGCAAGGAGGGTCCTTGACCCATCCACCAGCGGGAACGGCGTGACCCCGCACTGCGGTACGGGAGTAGTTTTAAGTTAGTTTTAGTTTAGTTTTAGTTAGAAGTAGGCTTCAAACTCATTAAGTGGGGAATAATGTAGTGATTCAGCCTGAGCCACTACGGCTCTGGCGGCATATGCGCGTAAGTCCCGCATTAGGCGACACCCGCGGTAGTTTCCGCGGGCGTGCTTATCACTGGGAACGTTAGATTTGGACTGGAACTGTAACCGCGCGACATGCCGTTTGCTGTGTTCCTCTGAGTCTCGGATCTCAACGTAGCTTCGTGGAGCTCCACTCATCGGTGCTTCTTGAGACTTACTTCAAGCAGTTACTTCTACAGCCTATGGTAGGATTGACCCTTAGTATTGTAATTAAGCATATTGCGTAGTTATTTAGGCCCAGTAAGATTAATAACCGCCCCGTCACTACACATGCATCATGGATTATAAGGCTGACAAGGCTCCTACCACCTATCAGCATAAAAGGACAAGTCAGAGAGTGAAAGAGGCCATGGCAAGAAAGAGGTAATGCCCTCCAGATAGAAAAGCAGATTTATATTCAGCTTCCTAGTGAGGAGGATCACAAAAAAGTCCAGTCTTGGAGAGGTGCCAGGCTTCATGAAGACCATCAACAAACAGGCGTCGGCAAAACCATTATAATATTTAACTACACAGTAGACCCCACATATTTGGTATTGCCATTATCATTCATAACGCATTAGAATTGGTGGAATTTCAACGTGTAATTTTCTTATGATTGTTTGACCCTATTAAATGTTATTAGACTAGGTCTATTAATTAAGACTAGATCTTAACCTAATGCTGTCCGTATTACCGTAACTATGGCTAATACCTTTTATTTGTTTTATTTTTAAGTTTTAATGGTAAACGAGACTAGATCTAAATCTTATCTACGGGTCTACCATCAAATTCAAATAAAAGTTCAAAATTTATTTCAAACTCAAAGTCAAAGACAAAGTCCACTTTTACTTCAAAGTCAACTCAATTAACTCAAAGGCATCCTTTTCTTCTCATTTACCGTTATTTGTTTTCCTAATAAAACATCACTTCCGTTTGATCATTTACACTATTTGTCATTTTTAATCTGTTTATTCTTTGAACAATCGGAATTCGATAAGCCAGGCCAGCTCCAGGCAGCAGTTGGCGCGCGTCGCGGCGCAGCGCAGCGCGGCATGTAAGGATCGCGTAGCTGGAAAATCACCACCGGCAGTAGCTTGGATATCTCCGCCGCTACCTCCGGCCGGGTCGCGAAGCTGTTGGAATACGCTGTCAAGCCCAAAACTGCAGGCTTTAAAATCAGACATGATAATCAACTTGCGGGCTGGATATTCCTCACCTTTATCGAGCTCAAGAAGAGCCGAATTTGCATCGTGTTCTTGTTCCCCATACCCGACATCTGTACCGAAGCTCGATAAACGAGACGTTGCACTCGACATTTTCTTGAATTTCTTGAATTGATATCGAGGAGTGCGAGCGCAGACGTCGACGAGGATGGATATACTTCCGGGATCAAATGGCCTAGGCTATACCTAGCTGTTGGGTATAAAATGCGCGGAGCGTAATCGTGTAACAGCTATAAAGCGACTGGGATTTAAAACTAACTCTGGTGTGGCGCGCCAAATTCATGAATTTGTGTACAAACACAACGTGTAGTGAGTGCATGCATGCTTGGCATTCGACATCGCGAGTGCATTGCAGCTGCTAGAACTTTGTAGGAGAATTAGAACGCCAACTATTCCGGTGCAATTTACATTATTACAAGAGAATCATCAGCCAGCTGACTTAATCAATCTGCTGAACAATGTTACCTAGGAGTTTGATTACATCCTATCACCAAGAACGCCGTCGCTGGGCTTGGAAATCACAGACAAAGAATTTGTGTAAGTTTTCTTGTCGGAATCGTCAATAAAATTAAATGTTTCAATTTAAATTTTAGAATTTTTATTTTTATTTTTCTGCTGGTAGACCTAGAGGTCTACTGCTGCTACAGTGGTAGGGTTAGTGACATTATCTGCTTAAAAATCTAGATGTTGTTTTGTAATGTCGCCTTTCTAAGATTATAACAACTTAAACAAGTGTATACTTTTCGGCATACTTTTCTACATTCTAATCTTAGTTCTTACATCCTGTGCTCCACAAATTTCTCATGACAATGACATGAAAATTGAGATGATGAGTCATGAATGTTAATCAGTTGACTTGTTAATTCATTATTGTTTATCATGTGGAAGAATTTTGTTCATTTTAGTTGTCAATAGGGGCTCTACTTGTCTAGATAAGTGAAACATAAGTCATAACATCATCTGCAGGGCTGCAGCAAACCAATTTAATTGGTATATTTTGGGATTGTCCTCATGCCTCAAACAATTTACAAGTCACAGGGACTGCTGGTATGAGCAGCTAGCTGTCAACAAGTGTGGTGTTGCAATTGTTCACAATTGCACAATAGCTATAGATCCAGTAAATAAACAAAAAAGATCCATTCAACAAACTTCCTCATAATTAATTTCTAAAGTTAGCTCTAGAAATAAATGAAATAAATATTAAGAATTCGGCAACGAACACAAGATTTTTTTTTTTAAATTAAAAAGGAAAATTGGAATTTGGGAAAATAATTGTTATGCTCTGATCCAACAGGTGGAGCTCTGGACAGCTGCTTGGAACGGTTTGAATGCCAGCGAGAGGATGAGATTCTATTCACAAACCCTGAGTTTGTTGATGGAATTCCACCGTTCGCCTGCAAGTTCGCTGAGCAGCCTTCAATCAGTCATCTTCTAGCTGCAGCCGATGAGGATGGCCGAGTGTTCATCTATAACACCAACGTGAATGGACCAGCATCGCAGGTTCAAGGTAAACATCCTCCAAGGGACTGTCAGTGTGTGAGGGTTTGACAATCTAAATAATAAGCATAATTCATGGGAAACACCAAGTGCCTATTGCAATATCTAGAATGGTCAACTGTCTCAGTTCAGTATAAATCCAGCAATTTCATCTCTTTCAAATTGATCAAGGGGAATTTTTAAAGCCTTTTTTCCTGTAATGTGGTAGCTGGCAAACTTGCGCCTTGAAACTCTCATGAGTTTGAATGGGCATGCATATCGACTGTAGGAACTCACTTCTGGTTAGTCGTCTGCTGTCCATAAAAAGTTATTCTGTACCCTCATACATTCAGGGATCTGGTCCCCAGACAAAATTTATATGTCAAACCTGGTTTTTCAAGTACCCACAAGACTCAGTCTCAGGCCTTAATAGCTTAAAAATTGATTATATTTCATTTCTGGTTTTATTTCCTATTCTATTATAACATGTCGTATCTTTATTTCAATGTTGCTTTAACTAGATTGGTCAGCTCACAACAATGCTATCTTTGACGTTGCCTGGTCATATACGGAGCCTCGCTTAGTGACAGCATCAGGTGACCAGTCTGCTGCCCTCTGGGACATCAAGACGGCCAAATGTCTAGCCACATTCAAGCAGCACAAATGCAGTCTCAAGTCTCTCAGTTTTCGGCCGTGGGATGGCCATGTGTTTGCTTCTGGATCAAGAGATGGGAGCATTATGATATGGGATGACCGCTGCAAGAAAAAAGGTTAGGATCACACCATAAGATGTCTTTCCTTCTCCCCCACCAACAACAAAATCCCTAAAAACCATATAGCCCTATGAATAATGACATGGTATGAATTAGCAGGTGACATACATGTACCTGGAAAGAAACTTATAATCTAATATTCAAGTCTGCCGCAGCACTATTAGATGTCCTTTAGCAAGAAATTAATCTACATTTGCCACTCTCCACCCAGGTGATGTTAATGGGTACCCTGTAGGAAGAAATGTCTTTAAAGGATTTGCGCCTTATCATGGCAGCTCAGCTACAGCCGGGGTAATAATATGATACCTTGTATTAAGTGAAGTAGAGTATTTTCATCTAGTAGCTGCACTATAAATGGACCTATTTTTTTTTTATTATCATTACTATTAGCATTTGTGATGGTGCATAGATAAAGCAAATACTGTATGTTGTATATCATCATATACAAGTGTCCTTGAAATGGATAAAAAGATACATGTCCTTGATATCCCAAATGTGCATTCTTGAGTTTTTGTCATATGATTAAACTTACTGGTATGGTAAGTTTATTAATTTTTCATCTCCCTACATTATTTTTATCAGTCATGAAAAATTATTTATTCTCTTTGTATTTGTTTTAATAGGGAAAGGATCGAGTCAGCTGCCTGTGATATGCATTAGCGATGCCCACATTAATCAGGCGACGGCCAAAGCTCAGCCGAAGCGTCGCAGGAAGCTAGCGCCCGAACTCCCAACCATAAACTCCTCCTACAGTGTGAGTGTGGTCCTGTTCCAGAAGGAAGATGTTCTGCTCTCGGCTGGCTCAGCAGATGGGTAAGAAGATGTTGAATTCTTTGCTTCAATTTATTCCTTTTTATACTTTGTTGTATAGGGTAGCCTTTGATTTGTTGGATAGCTGCATAAATTATGAAATATTCCTCAAGCTTTTACAGTGTATGTTTTAAAAAGTGTAACTGTTCATGAAAATGTTTTCAATTCTCGAGCTTTCCTGTTACTAGCAGTGTAAGTGATGAATTTATTGAGATAAAGAACAAGTGGTATGAATCATAAAAATCATATCAAATGAAAACACTTTTGATATACCACAGATATTTGCCACAATAAATGGTGTGGAATTAATATAGTCATATAAATTAAAACTTCCATATAAATACAGATATTTGCTACAATAAATGATTCCCCCCTTTAATTTCCTCCCTACAGGATTGTTAAGGTATGGGACATCCGGAAGCTGAAGTCCTCGGGCTCATCAAGCCCTACACCTTCACATCAATTCCCATACAGTGGCACAAGCAACAGAAAAAGAGGTGAGAGCTTAAGTATAGGTGCACAAAACAACATTGTTGGTTTTATGTCCATATTCCCATGATGTTCTTCCCTATGCCAGCAAAAAATACAACTAGAACAAACAAACAAAAAGCAGTGGTAGATTGTGAATAGTGCTGGTAATCATGAATTCACCTTCTGGTGCCTTTATCTATTGGTGTTCGTGATGTTAGCTGGATCTGTGCCAGTCATGTCTAGTTTTTCTGCCGACCATTTTTCAATGTAATATTCTTGAGTGGTTATTATAGTTTACCCCATTTTGCTTTGTATTGTTGTGTTTTTTTCTTTCTTTTCCTGACATGCAAATATACATAGTATTTCATGATAAAGTTTGAGATTTCCACGTATGAGCCAATATGTCTTTCATAATTTCCTTTCTTAATTTTTTAGAGCAACTGTTAGCATCCAACCTATATTGAGGTCCCAATTTGATTTTGTATGTCACTCCCTTGTCTCTCTAAACCATGCAAATTTTGAATATTTTATTCTTAATGAATAAAATGTTATTCCGCTTACCATAAATAGGCTTCTCCTCACTTGCCCTGACCTCAACACGAACCCGGCTCTTTGCGAGCCGTACGGACAGCGTGGTCAATGAGTATGACCTGAGCGGGGTGCTCGGATCCCAGCCCGTCGCTAGATACCGGGGTCACATGAACTCCACGTTCTTTGTGAAAGCTGCCATCTCACCGGACGACCTCTACCTTTTGTCAGGGTCCAGTGATAACAATGCTTACATTTGGAAGGTAAAGCTTTCTAGGACTTTTTGATCTCTTTCAAAATACCAATTTTATTCTTTGTGCTGTTATTTTTTTGTGTATCTTTAAATATGAAGACTGAATTCATTTATCTCTTAGGCTGAATGTTTAGTGATTAAAATGTAATAATTTTGATGTCATTTGAGCAAATTTTATTGTTTTGGTGAAGACTTAGGATATTGTCAGTCAAAATAATGACAATATGTTGTAGATAATCGCACAAACACCAATGCTAACATTAAAATTATACATATGTATATGAGCTTGTTGGTATTAGCAAAATGATATGGCACATTCTTTATTTTGCTCAGTTTTTAATATGGTGCTTACTTATTGTCATGATGTTTTGTTATGCAAATACAGATAGGAGAGCCTGAATCCCCTTCAGTGACCTTGGAAGGTCATGGGGCAGAGGTCACATCTGTCACATGGTGCCCTACAGACTTCACCAAGGTAATGTGCTTTTGTGATCTGTTTGGGGGCAGGGTACGGGGCCAGGCAATTTTGTTTGTTGTTAATTCAAATGGTTTCGTGTTGGAAAACATTATTAATCTGAATATAGAAAAGCAGATACTTAATGTCTAAATGTTCTCATTGCCAATGCTCTGGTATCAGGTTTTGCTATTGTTCTTATTATTTTTATCAGGAATAACATTTTGATTATTATTATTGATCAGTATTATTATTAATTATTATCATCATCATCTTTATCATTATTATCACTATTTAAAAAAAAAATGTATTATCATATATATTTTTTAAATAAATAATTGTTGTTTTAAGTGAGTGAACTTTAATAGGCATATTATTACATATATTTCATGAAATATGATAGAATATGCAAATTATGATCAAGTGTCATGAAAATTTTGTTTGTTTTACATGAAATTATGTATATCATAGGAGAGAAGATTTCTTTTGAAATGAATGTTTGATGTTCTCACATTCGTGTTCTTTCTGTCTCATTGTATTATTCAGGTTGTGACATGTTCAGATGATAATACCATGAGGATTTGGAAGATGTCTACCGGCCAGGTCACCCATGTTGACGGGGTCAACAGGGTTGTGGGAAGGGCAAGAAGATGCGAGAAAAAGCCAGTAACGGAGAGCCAAGGTAAGGGATACAAGTTCATACATGTTCTTCTACAGCCATAACCTGATGTGACCCTTCTGTGACAGTTTCTTTTGACTCTTGATGTGTTTAATTTTGTTTATTCCTTACTCCTACAATGCTACTATTCAACCAGTCTGTTTCAAGTTGCTCGATTCTTACTAGAATATTTTACTTGAATATTTGTATGGATCTCCGTTATTTTTTGTGCTTTGAGATCATCCCATGATTCTGTGATTTTTCGTTAGAAATAGCCTTTTTAATAGGAGATTTTGTTGGAATTGGAGTAGCATTATTGAGCCATTTAATACAAACTTTTATAACTTAGTTAGCAGAATTATCCAATAATGTTGAAAGGATTTAATGCACAGCCGTTACAATTATTACAAGGAAAGATGTTTTCTGTCAATTATTGATTAAGTACAAATCTCATAAACAGAGTCCTGCACCTTTTATTACATCTAGTCAGATTTGCTTTAATTGGTATCAAAAGTATTCGCCAGTTAAAAATAATGATATAACAGTGATTTAAATTGGAATTCTATCCCTCTCTCTCTCTCCGTCTTTTACTGACAGAAACAGACAGTGGACCTTCACAGTCTGGTTCAGAGAGTAGCAGGTCTACTCCTACACATAAGACCAGTGAATCACCCCTGTCTCCTCAACCCAGCCCCACGCCCTCCAGTACTAAGAAGCGAAGGTTCAGTCTGAAAGAATGGGTCACCACCTCGCCCAAACCCTCAAGACCTGCTTCCCCAGTTCCTTCGCCCAAGAGACTAAAGAGCGAAAGCTCGGAGAGCGGTCAGGCATCACAGCCAGATGGAGAGAGTGAATCAGTTCTCAAAAGGAAGATGACTTTGGAAAATACAGAGGAAACCAGTGCCATAAAGAAGGTGAAAGTCAGCAATTCTGGAGCTGCGTTGGCAGCATTAGCGACATCCTCAGTGCTCACAACCAGAATATCAGATAGCAAAAGTTCAGTAAGCAATCAAGGATCACAAGCAAATGAAGAAACTGAGTTTGCTCTAAAGAGGAGGATGACTGTGGAAAATGTAGAGGACATTGGTGACTTAAAGAAGGTGAAAAGGGACCATTCTGGAGCTGCTTTGGTGCCGTTGGAGACTACGAAATGCTTAAGTGATGAAACAGGAGCAATAATGGGCACTGACGACAAAGACCTTGTGAAAGACACCCCTCAGAGCTCACTTGCAAGTCCAATTGCTACAACTTCACCACCATCAAATGAAACCAGTGATGATTACAGTGGTAATTGTGATGGTATAGATAAAGAAAATTTGAACAAAGACCGCAGCAAATTAGACCAGCCTGAAACTACGCTAACCTCCATCCAACGTTCCCCTCTCAAAGACGATCTTCCAATGAACAGGCCAAAATGCAGTTCTCTCTCGAAATCAGCAACAAAAAGGAACATTACTTCCCACTTTCCGGCATCTCCCAGAGCAAACGAGGGGCAGGGGAGGGGGGAGAAGGAGGAAGGGGGAAGCCCCGAGATGCAGCAGCAGAACTTGAAAGAGTGTTTCAAGGAGAAGAAAAATGGAGGACTCGTTCAGTCCAAGAGGAAAAGTATCACCAGACCCATTGATGGGTACTTCCAACCGATTCAAAGGAAAAATAAATCTGACACATGATAGAAAATGTGGACAATTTATTTTATCCCTTTTACAATTTAGTTGTTTAGTGGAGCTATCTTACTGTAAGTTGTTGAGGATGTGTAAAACCTGATGAATTTTTATGATGACTTGTTTTGCTGGTGCTCTTTGTCATTTATTTGCATCTGACATTTACAATGTGTCAACCATATTACACATCTATGCAACATTATTCCAGTTTGTAAGGAAAACAGGCTATTGATTTTGGCTAAATGTTGCCAATTTCGTGTCTGCAATATCATCAATTTTACCAATTTCTCTAATTTTGTGAGAATTTTTTTCAATCAGTACCCTTATTTTTTTCTTCCTATCATTATTCTATAACTTAATTCAACGGTTTATATACACGTTTTTAAATGAAGAAGAGGGACAAGCTATCTATTGTCCAAAAATATTTTAACATGCTAGAAACTTGTGTTTATCTAATGTCTTAATGAGTATACCGACTATTGTTGCCAGTGAGATGTTATATTTTCTGTTCAGGTATAAGATTGATCTATTTCATTTGGAGCTACATGTACTTCTCTGTTAATTTTGTATGGGATATTTTCAACAACAAAAATCAACATTCCTTTGTTAATCAATTCAGTATATGAGGACCAAAAGGGGTATGAACATTTTTCTTTGGGGATGAGTAAAAAAAAAAAATTGAAATTGCCAACGTTTATATGCCAATTTGTTCTTCTATTCTTCTATTCTTCATTTGACTTTTCTGATTTCTGAAACTTTTATTGAAACTACCTGCACCAGCACTTCACCTTCATTGAGATATGTATTTGATTGATGTATATATATATATAAAAGTATGGTCCTTATACGTGGTAACACTCAACAGTTCTCACACACTGAAATAATCACTCAAAAGTAATAAACACAAGAAATGCCAATAGAATCTTCAGAGTTTTCATTTTGTTTATTTTTTTCTTGAAAATTCCCAGGTTCGCTGAGAAACGACTGCTCAACAACATACTTCTCAGACAAGGTCTATTGTTACCATACTAATTGAGAGAGATAGTTGTGCCACATGAATCTAGGCGAGAAGGGGTCATAGGTTAAAGATGTCCATGCATGGGTATATAGTCGTACGTGAAGTAGGAAACTTGGCGAGCACTCCTGTGCGTACGTCCGTGTGCTGCCCTCTATATACCCACGCTTGAGCAACTTTAAATCATGTTGATCAAAAAAGTTCCCTCCCACATACAACCTCTATGGGGGGAACTATTGTGGAGTTTCATGAAATGCCTGACCAATCAAGAGCCACTTCTGGTGACATTACTATCTCTCTCAAGTAGCTATGGTCTAAGCTATTTAATTTTTCCCATACATTACTGACCACATCTCAGATTTTTAGTAAATTTGGGCCCTGTTTCATGAAACTTGTTCTCGTTAACTAGCAACTGAAATCGTGGCATTTGATTTGCTAAGAGCAAATTTGTCATTGAATTTTAGCATTTTAACAACAAATTTTGTGAAACGAGCTCCATACCACAAAGGTTTGCAATCAATTGCAAAATGGCAATGGCCAATCAAGACCATCGTTGCAAGCACACAATATCCAATAGGCCAGTCATTAACCAATCAGAATCGTCGTTGCAATTGATTGCAAACCTTTGTGTTACGGGGCCCTGATGATTGCATTCAGTTGACAGTCCTACTAGAGCTCCAATTAGACCAAATATGATGTGCAATTACTCATTGGATAACTTCACAATATCTGGTAACCTATGGTATACCCGATGATAAAATACCTCGTGCTTGCCCATAGACGAGTAGGCTTCTGGTAAACCCAGCTACAAGCCTTTTGGAACATGCAAAACACACAAAATGGCATATGGGGCTTTAAACAAAAAACAAAAAAGGATGATGCTATATTTCTCTTTTAAAACAAAAATCAATAGTCGGGTTTATAATGGGAGTTTGTAAATACCTGATTTCATTTCAATTTACTCGTATATTTACTCATCCTATAATGCCAAAATATGAGGGGTAAAAAAGCTTGATGTGACTAACTTTGCATGAGTTTTGAATCTCGACGGGTTGCAGCCATCTTATTACAATACATGTATCGTTTAATTCCTCACAAACAAAAACAGGAACTAAAGATGAACTTATTCAAAAGTCTAAACCATGATTAACATTTTCAGTTCCAATACTGGTAATTGATGACCCGTCAAAAATATTCAAATGCGGTAAAGAAAAAGTGAATAAACATGGAAATACACAAAAATCCCAGATTGCTAAGTCGCATTATTAAGATAAATAACAACTAGCCAATGACTTGAATGTTTGCTACCATTGTAAGTTAGAATTTCACCTTTAAAACGCATACCTGTTTTAAAAGAAGTCTAAAATATAAACCGCCTTGTCTGGTATGTATGAGCATTTTTCTTTTAAATACAAAGACAGACACTTAAACACTCTCCTTAGCAGTATATTTGATCAGAGAATCCAACACTGCATATTTTACACTTTACAACATTTGTACAAAAATATCTTCTCCCTCTGTTCGCTTATCTTCACCTTTTGCATTATGCTGCTGTTGGACTTTCATGTATAGGCTAGCCGTTAGCCCCACGTACCTGTAGAGCCAATCAAAATTTAAAGTAAGATGTAATGAACACCTTGCACCAACACCCTGCGGGAGACATGTACAGAATTTGCAAGAGAGCCCTAGGATCGCCATTAATTCAGGCCTTTGTAAACTTTGGCACAGTCAGTTCACAACAAAAGGCCATAATAATGCCAGTAACAACCATTGTAGTGCTATGTTAAGCTACAAATAAACCATGAATTTGCCATTTTGCCCCATGGCAGTAAACAGGGTTGATTTTTAATGCAAGTAGTAAAACTTGAATTTGTTGTCCTTCTCACCCTACCATGTCTTAAACATTGCATAACCATTTAGCCGCCATTGCCACAGGATGACACATACCTTTCCATAACACAAAAATGGCCTTTCGTGGCTAGGCTAGGCTTTACATGAAAGTGTGCTTGTAGCATGAGAATATCAACAATAAAAACAAAAACATGATCATGTTGCTTTCCCCTATTAACAGTGATAGTTTTTTAGTCCAAGGAAAATAGGTAGCACAGCAATCGTGTTGTGAAGAGAAAGTGACTTGCATACTTCTTTGAAATGAAAGTTTGGAACAGGAGTCTTTGTAACCTTCTGCAGCATTTAATCTACACACACACACACAACCATATAAACCTTTCTTTCATTTTCCCTTTTCTATCCCAAAGTTTTCCTGACACAACCCAACAAGGTTCCTTGCATTATCTGCCATTAAAGTTCTATATCTATCAAGATAGCAAAGTATTTCATACACTTAAGACTCATTCAGTTATGGCACCACAAAATCACAACGTTGTTTCATTTAAAAAGAATTAAAGACACAACACTTCCCCAGAGAAAACACAGATATTGTGAATCTACCAGCAAAATTAGGATTTTTTTTCTCACCCACATTTATTAGACCTGTGCTAACTTAATCTCACCATAACCCAGAGAATACGATGGGCTTACATGTATATTTGCAAAATACAAGTGATTCGTGTGAATGATGGTCCGATTGTAACTTGCAAAGGGCAGAAAATGAAGTTGGTACTATGTCTTGTTTGTGCTAAAATCCACAAAACAGTGACTTAAACTGGATGAATAATGTACATTACATCATGCTTTGTTTTTTTGTTAGCTGGAATGATTAAATTTTGTTCATACAAAAAGGGAGAACAAAGAAGAAACTATATCATCTGGAGTATGTTTGTTAAACATTTTATTTTTAATTCAGGTTAATAGCTGGTCACTTTCATATGGATACCGGGTACGTTAATGATCCCCTCCCCTACCCCCCCCCCCCCGAAAAAAACAAAAAAACAAACAAACAATGGTAATGGCAGGCACAATACCTAATTACGTTGATGCACGATTCATCAAAATCCCCTCCAAAACCATGTCAGCTAAGTAGATTCAAGGCTAGCTCACACGATATCCACTAAACATTTTCAATTCCTGCCATACCGACCCTAGTCATATCAAAACATTTCCCCCCCCCCCCCCGCAAAATCGATTAGATTAAACAAAATACTGTTTATTCAAATAATTATTACATCAATATTGATATTTAGGCTTGCCCTTGAACTCCGAGTTAGTTTTCCTTCAAGTTTTGAAATGAAGCCATTATCCCCCTCTATGCTCTTTAATCCATAATCAGTAATGTATCTCATATCGTTATTTTGGGGTCAAATTTATGTCTTCTAATAAAACAAACATTATTTTGGCGACTGGTCCCCTGTAATGAATAAAGGGCCTCAGAGAACATTTTAGTGCTTGCCAGCAGCATCAGAAAGTATGATCGATATATTTTTAATGATGGAATTGAAAAGTAGCACTCAATTGCTTTACCTGCAAACAAAAGTACAGTCATGAATAAATTATAAGTGTGGTATTTATAAACAAATAAATCTAAAAATGTTAATACAAAATTATTACTGTTCCTGTAAGTTTCCTAGCAACAAACCCACAGTCTAGAATCTAGCAGAAAAACAAAGTTTTTGGAGACGAATCTATCTATGCTACAGTGTAGAAAGATGGAAAGAAAACATATAAAAGAGGAAAATACATTTAAAAACATTCATTCAAACAAATAACCCTACACTAACGTTACATTCACACATACTTTCTCTTCTCATTATTAAATTTTATTACATGTTAGAACGGTTCCATTTCAGTAGACAAAATGTGCAATGGTATAGAAGTCATACATATGTGGGGTAGGATTTCACACCAGTAAAAAACCAGTTCAAACCAGATTGAAGCAGCTTAAACCAATTCACACCAGTAACTAATTCAGATCTCCTATTGGCTCATGTTAGATTGTATGTGTTCCAGCAAACAAGTTTTTTTTATCCACCAGGTTTTTTAAAAATCCATCTCACAGTTCCATTTGACTTAAAACGTGCAATGGTAAAAGAGTCATACAATTGCTGGGTTTGAGTGCGCACTAGTCAAAACCAGTTCAAACCAGTTCAAACCAGATTGAAGTAGCTTAATCAATTCAATCAATTCACACCAGTAACTCATTCAGATCTCTTATTGGCTCCAAAGAGATTGTATGCATACCAGCAAACAAGTTCTTTTTATCCCAAAGTTTTTTTTAAATCCATCTCACAGTTCCATTTCAGTAGACACGGTGTGCAATATGAAATGAGAGTAATACAATTGCTGGGTGTGAATTCACACTGGTTTGAACCAGTTCAAACCAGTTCAAAATCAAATCAGCATAAACCAATTCACACCAGTGACTTATTCAGATCTAGTATTAGCTCCCATTAGATTGTATGCATTCCAGCAAACAAGTTCTTTTTATCCATAAGTTTTTTTTAAATCCATCTCACAGTTCCATTTCAGTAGGAGTAACACAATTGCTGGGTTCGAGTTCACACTGGTTTAAACTAGTTCAAACCAGCATAAACCAATTCACACCAGTGACTTATTCAGATCTAGTATTAGCTCCCATTAGACGTGTTCATTTTACGTGTTTCAGCAAGCGAGTTCTTTTTATCCACAAGTTGTTTTTTTTGTTCCTTTTTAATCCATCTCCTAATCCGTCCTCCCACACTGCATATCACACTTTCGACTTATTATACACTATACACCTTGATTGCACTCCCAAAACTCTCTTTATAGATATTCAATACCGGTTATCCTCCTCTTTGATTTAAAATAATTTTCAAAGCTCTAAACCAAATGCAATTTTCAGTTCACTCCTTTGTTGCATTCTCCAGTACATTTATATGTCCATCCGACACCTTACAGGGGCTTTATCCGTAGAACCGTATGCTCTTTGTCATCACTTTCTGGTTAGTCTCCGTCACACCATAGGTCAAATTCACGACACTTTAGATCTTACTGACATAAGCAGACAAATGCTCCCAGAACAATGTTCATTTTTTCCCCACGACTCCCTTACAAGAGAAAGTTGTCCTGTTTTTTAAAACACACTGCACTCAATTTGGCCTAAATTGGCAATGCGGCTCACATCAACTCATCTTTATCCAGGCTGAAATATCACCAGAAGAGAGACAGAGAGAGAGAGTGAGATAAGCAGAGAACCAGAGAGACAGAGACAGAGAGAGAGAGAGAGAGAGAGAGAGTGAGAGACAGTGAGATAGGCAGAGAGACAGAGAGTTACAGAGAGACACAAAGAACAAAACACAAGACAGTGTCGGAAGAGACAGAGAGACACAGGATTTTGCACAGATTGTAGAACAAGCTAGAAACAACAACCCACAGCTTAATAATAGGTAGTGTAGAGGGAGAAAAATTTATACAGAGACTATCAAAGAGCAGAGAACACAGAAATGTGTAAAAAAACAGATAGACACTTTATGAGATTAGGAGAGAGAGAAATTGGACATAGCACTGCACAAAATGAGAAGAGAGAGGGAAAGGAAGTTGTTTCCATGTTAGGCCATTTCCCTGTATCTCCGTAACCCGAAACGTACTGCTGCAAAGGAAATTGGAACATTCCCAAGATTGCTTTTCATCCTGCCACAGTGAATGAAGCTATCAAGCTCTTCTAGAATGAGAGTGTTCCATCCGTCACAGCTCAACACCACAAAGGCCGAATCACTTTCCAATGTCTCCTGGACGCGATCCAAATGCTTCTGTACAGATCCAATGCCTTGACACACATCACTCCTATCGCTTTCACTCAAAATCCTCGTAAAATCCAACAACTTGACGATTTTTTACGATTCCACTTCAATGTTTCCCTCCTATACAACCGCAAAGCATTGATATCCTGCTCCAGGTTATTTTCTACTCGTTGATATCATCCGGTAGAATCAAATCCAGCTTAGAGGATGTCCATAATGAATATTTGAGTCTTTAGTTCTTTTAGCAGTCTCAGGCTCCTGTCAAACTTCTGTGCTGCCGTCGGTATCTGCAAAAGAAAGTCCAAATCAGTCAAAATTAACAGTGATACCACATCTAAACGTTGCTCCAGAATGATATGCAATGATATACTAGCGTTGTCATTTGTTCAATGGATAAACATATTAATACCTACAAAAAAGGCACCTTTTTTTGTTGTTGGTACAACAACTACTCTTGCAAAGGTTCAGAAACAATAGTGGCATGAAAATAAAAAAAATTGAATGTTCAAGAATGGATTTGGACTGAATGAGGTATAATTATCTCTCTGAGAAACAAAATAAATATTACTCCATGTCATGTAATTTATATTCATGGGGGGGGGGGGGGGGGTACCACTTACCTGACGATTCATCGGGACCCCAGACCCGGATGGTGGTGTCGTCTGAGACGGAGACGAGCATGTTAGGAAGAATAGGATTCCAGGCTACACAATTTACCGTCCTGGTGTGCCCTTGCAATACTGCTATCGGTAACTCTTTCTTGGTATGCCATACATATACATTATTATCTGAAATTGAGAAGAAAACAATATTATACAAATATTGCATGCTACGGCGTTCAGTGTAACAACATTTATGAACCAACAAATTCTGAATTTCCTTGAGTGATGTGATATTTCGAGGCTGGGACATGGACCGATAACATAGAGCAGTGGATGGAAATGTTGTTTGAGCAGCTAACTAGAACGGGTGAAGACAGGAAGTTATGGAGAGCCTGTGTCTCAATGTCCATTTCATAGTTGCCCCAACAACCTCCAGGCTATGGGACATAGATGGATAGATAAATTTGATCCTGCAATACTGCAGTATGTACACAAATGTTATCTGAAAGATGGAGGATAAACTAGGAAACAAGTGCAGGATATGTATCTTTTGTCGTTGTTATTGTCGCCAATACAATGCAGTATACACTTACTATCTGAATGATAGAGTATTTACAGTCATCAACTAAACTATTCATCCCCTTGTACATTTGATGTGTTTTTTTGTGTAACTCAAGGATGAAAGGTGGACTGGTTGAATTTGGGCCTTCTTGATTACTTTTAGATGAGTGTAGTAAGCTTTAATGTGTCACACTCTCAAGAAATGTCATACTGGACAAATCAATATTTCACAAACTTACAAAAATGACAAAACTTGGTAAGGGTATGACTAATTTAGTTATTAACTGTACAAGGCAACCATGTATGACCATGTGACCCACCTTCACTACCACTAGCTACAAACTTCTCATCCACCCCTCCGAAGCACGAGTGTATCGTGTAGAAGCCGTGAGTAACGCCCTGAAACTTGCGGATGAGCAGCTTATCCTTGATGTCCCATAAATGGACCCCCTGATAGGCCACGCTGAGCAGGGCCTGGCGCTCATTAGAACTGATGGTGAAGGACATGATGGAGTGGTCCTCTTGAAGACTGAGATAAATGAGAACAAAAATGAAGGTTAAATTGCTCTGAGGTCTATTCCTATTTAATAAACACTAACTGTGGACCATCACTCTACCTTACCTCATCCTAACCCTACTCCGAATCTAAAATCCAATCGCAACAAAAGTCATAACCCTTCATCTTTGAAGAAAAGAAAAAAATGCTGCCGGAGCATATGTTTAATCAGTAAATTTATTAGTTTTGTTTAGTCAGAACATAAGCCAGCGCATATTTCTCACAAACTTTAAAAACTTTTAAAAAAAGAAAAAAAGAAGGAAATTCCTCATGTAAAATAAAACAATGAAACACTTCCCTTACAATATACTAAGAAAAATATTTGTGGACACATGAAATTTTTGGTAGGATTTAACAGTCACTTCACCACTTTACCTCACATTCATTTCTATCTCTTCATATTCAGAATTCTTTTCCAAATTCATTAAATTTCGGTTCCATCTACTGGATCAAGTTCTCCTGACCTATGCATTTGCAACAATCTTTAACAATCACTGCATGATTTCTTATTAAATTCTAGATATGCTTATCAGTCAGTAAAACATTTTGATATGAAATTTCCATTTTTAATATTATTCGCACTCATTCGTGATATTCTTTTTATTTAACGCATTGCTTACGGGAAGCTGTTGGATCCTGGGAACCATTTCACAACGCCTTTCTTCAATGTCAAATGACAAAAGCAGTGACAAATCTGCTGTTAACCAATCAGAAGCAAGGATTTCAGTAGCTTATAACAAAGACTGTCATTTGTCACTGATGACATGTTTTGTGAAATGGGGCCCTGTACTGAGTCTATGGGACTGAGACAACTCGGCAGTCAACAGGTTAAACTGGAACTTACACATGTTGGTCTGTGAGATCATCAAAGTTATACGCCCTGATGCGATGGTGGGTGTCTGCCGCTAGCACCCTCTTGCCGTCCTTCTTCATGCATAAGCACTGGACCCTCACGCCTTCCCACGTGTCTAGCACGTTGCCATCCAGGTCCTAGTGTGAAATATAGCATCATACAGCATGGTTAATTGACATTAAGATTTGACGATATAGTGAAACCTGTATGTAAAGACCGTCCAAGGGAAACAAAAAAGTGATCTTAATAGACAGGTAGTCGCTTAAGCAGGTTTGACTGTACAAAAGGTTGTACGGCTCATGCTATCGATGAGTCAGATATCTTAGACTGGTAAATCAAGATGAATTGAATCACAATGACATAGAGTCGAATCCCCAAATGTTGCACGTTTGTAACATTTGTCTCCCCTACGTTGATAAGATACAATTTTTTTTTTTTAAAGATCTACCAGTCCACCTACCAAAATCTCATTTATTCTCTTTTGCTGTTGAATTACCAAAAAAATGTTGGAACAAAATTGTAAGACCCATCTAGATGAATGCTGGATACATGTTCATGAAAGTTGCGTAATAATTATTCAAATATGCACCGGCAGTACAATCTTTGTTACATAGATGGGAGTATACTTCTCAAGAGGGCGAAAAAAAAGGTATTCATGACATACCTCCTTCAGGCTGGAAGTAATTATTCTAAAATGCACAAAGGGGGACGTCTCCATGTGTGAAAGAGCTGTGGATATTTTTTTATTTTTTTTTTCGGGGGGGGGGGGGGGGGGTCATTAAGTACAAGTGCTATCTCGGAAGTAGCTTGTTACCCAAAACGTTATCAAATGGGAATGCATTGAATCTGAAAGGTTGAATGTGATAACACTGTGGTTTTCCCCAATACCACGACACTTGAAGGCCTTATAACGACCCCATAATGGACTGAAGATTACAAACACAATTTCCTCTGGCTGGCTGACTTATCTTGTTATGATAATAAACAGAACTAACAGAGGAACTGTGCTCAGGGCAATTTATATTATAGGCCTATCTATATTGCAGAAAAAACGAATTTGAAAAGTCATCCTTTTTTTTAACCACCATTTATATATTACTGTGGAACATCCTTAAGTGGTTATCCATGGCAATGTTGGTTGACTTACACACTGGTAGAACTGCCCTCTCGTCCCTCCTGTCACAAACCTCCTGCAGTCAGAGTTCCATGAGGCACTTGTCAGGCAGTCTTCGGGCGATTGGCTCATCTTCGTTTTCACTTCCCCCGTCTATTGAAAGCAGAAAGACACAATAACAAATTATGCTAATGTAAAATAAGGGGAATACAGGAGAGTGTTTCCCAAAGACTAAGATCGACTTAAAATTGGAGTTAACTATGGCAGGCGGTTCATGCCACTGTTTTCTCTTACCATTATGAATCTTAGATTTGTTCAGATAATATTTTTCCTTCAACAATGAGTTATCAAAAAATGTAAATTCTGTAGATCTGTGACCACGATTTGTACGTCCCTTGAGAGCCAAAGCCAGTAAGTGATGAGAGCAAACAGTGGCATTAACGGCCTGCCATAGTTAAGTCCAACTTAAAGTCGATCTTCGTCTTCGTGAAACACTCCCCTGATCAAGAAACTGTTTTAATGAACAACTTGAGCACAACTATGTGATATTTTTCTGTGCGGTCAAGGTAATATGGAAGCAGCAATTAATTTCATTTAACTGCATTTAACTGCATTTAAAATTGCAAGTAAGATATTACACTTTCAATGTAACAGGAAGAAAATAAAATGGCCATATGATAGCTCAACATAATTTTCATGATGTAGCAGTGATATTGTTTACACCCTGATACCATGACAATGATGAAAATAAGACCAACTGATAGTGTTGTACTCATGATGACAATATTGACGTAGGGGGTAACAATGAGGATGATGACAGTTGTATGGATCACAATCGACACCCTTTCTAAACATTTCCCAAATAAATTTTGATGACAATTAATAAGCTTGTTCCTACCTCGGCATTCCAGACCCACAGTTCTGATGAATCTTCAGGTCCGCAAACAATGAGGTATCGACTATCTGGACTCCAAGCTAAGAAAGACACACCAAACGCATGGCCCTCTAATGTCTTTTTCTTCTTGATTTCTAATGTTTCCTGGAAAAACAACAAAGAAAATACACAGAATGTAATACTTTAAAGCCCCACTGCACTCCTCATAGCTACTTACGCCCTCTATACAGCTAACAATGCCTAAGCAATACCTGTTGATACCCATGATGCCCTTTTTCTTATGTCAATTGAGAGCAGATTTGATAAGATAACCACCTATTGGTGACCATGCCGGGGAGTCTAATCCCTCCTGGCCAAACTAGTGCAGAGGAGTTTTAAATAAGTTCAGTTACAAAATGAGTAGGCACAGTGGTAGAGTGATAGTGGTGAAGTGCTAGTGTCCTTTGGTTAGGCATTATTCTGCATCACTGAGTACCTTGGAGAGGGACTTGGTGATGCATATTTACAAGTGTTTAAATTGCTTCCTTGGCAGTCAGATAAAACAAACAAACAAACAATACTTGACTCTTTGGGTGAGCAATTTACGGTACTCACTGCCTTTCGTTACCAATCTACTCACTGAAATACATACATAATGTAATCAGGTATGTTAACTCTTATATTGCATTGCTAGATTATTTCATCTGAATCCAAGTACGCCCTATGGCACCTACAACTTCAGTCCCATCTTATGGACTTGCCCATGAATGTATGTTCTCAATCATCCTTGTAGCAGATAAATAATAATAATAATAATACATTAATAGAGCGCAGAAACTTTCCAACATTAAGCATATATTCTACTGCGCTACAAGAGCTCCTGATATGCTTAAATTTACAGTTAATTGAAAAGATGTGCTTTCAGTTTTTATTTAACGATATTCACAGATGGTGATTTCCTGACTTCAAAACAATAAATAATGTTAAATGTTATAGACAAGTCAACTAGACTATGTTTTAACTTACGACGCTTCACATTCTCGACCCAGTTACAGGTCAATGACTGTTTGCCGCTACAGACCAGTCGGCCTGATGAAGCGTCCTGGAGTGGACGTGAAACGTTGCAAGCTGAAACATAGCAAGTCCAGTTGACTTGTCTATAATATTTTACCTCATTTATCTTTTGGATGATCGAACTGGAGAATGTCTTTCTCAGTGGAACTAGCGCAACGACTCAAGAATCAAACCAATGTCACACTGTTTCCAACATCATCACTGTATGTGAGCCGTAACGCTTCCTCCCAAGTATATTGATAATAATAATAATAGGCAATTGTATTGTGCCATCTACCTGGAACTTCTATTCCAAAGATTAGAAATAAGAGTCTGAACAAGTGCCTGAACAAGTGCCTGAACAAGTGCCTGAACAAGTGCCATAGTCTTGTGTCAAGCATTGCTAAAACTAGATGGAATTCGACTGCGCGCAGTCGAAAATGATGCCTCCGTCATAGAGCAATTTTACAAACCAAAACAGAAGAAATTTTTCGAATTCAAGTTCAATTGTAATCCATTGACAGGTTCTCAGAAAATCGTGATTACAAGCAATTTCTCATATACATATATGACCCTTTGATCTTTGACCTCATGACCCTAAAATCTACTCAGTTCATTGGCTCTGCAAGATGTCCTGAGTTAAATAGTAATCCATCTGTCAGTTCTAATGAGAATGCGTTCACAAGCTATTTTTGCATACATAATGAGCCCATGACCTTTGACCTTTGACCTTATGAACCAAGAATCTACTCAGTTCATTGGCTCTGCAAGTAACATACATGACCTAATTTTGGCAGGAATCCATCAATCGCTTCTTGAGATAACGCGGTCACGAGCTGTTTTTGCATACATAATGTGCGCTTTGGCCTTTGACCTTTGACCTCATGACCCCTAAATCTAATCAGTTCATCGGCTCTGCAAGTAACATACATGACCTAAGTTTGGCAGCAATCCATCAATCGATTCTTGAGATAACGCGATCACGAGCTGTTTTCGCATACATAATGAGCCCTGTGACCTTTGACCTTTAACCTCGTGACCCCAAAATCTAATCAGTTCATTGGCTTTGCAAGAGACATACATGACCAAAGTTTGGCAGGAATCCATCAATCGGTTCTTCAGATAACGCGATCACGAGCTGTTTTTGCATACCTAATGAGCCCTGTGACCTTTGACCTTTGACCTCGTGACCCCAAAATCTAATCAGTTCATCGGCTCTGCAAGATACATACATTACCAAAGTTTGGCAGGAATCCATCAATCGGTTCTTTAGATAACGCGATCACAAGAACGGGACGTACGTACAGACGTACGTACAGACGTACGGACGGACGGACGGACGGACGGACGGACGGACAACCCGAAAACATAATGCCTCCGGCTACTTCGTAACGGAGGCATAAAAAACAGGGAGGGTTTCAACTTGGACTTGAACCTCTCGAAAGATGGTTCAGTTGATGGCAATCATGCACTTTCTGCTTTTTGAGTATTAAGAATTCAAATTTGAATTGGTATATCTACCTTGATGACATCCCATATAATGACCGTCATATCCTTGGACCCTGTTGCTAGCTTGGTGCCGTCCGGTGAGAACTTACAGTACCAGACCTCGTCACAGTGATCGTGAAGTACCTGATGGGTCTTGGAGGGAAACTGATTCCTGTGAGGGGGGCAAGCAAGAAAAATACAAGTATGATGAGAGAGACTATTAAAGTTGATGAAATATTAAGAATATCTGCATGATGGCTGTCATATCGTTAGACAGTGTTGCTAGCTTGGGGCCGTCCTGTGAGAAGTTGCAGTACCGACCTTGTCACAGAGATCATGAAAGATGACGAGATGAAAATTAGATGAAATTTTAAGAACATGCCAGGTAATGACTGTTGATTTCATGTTGCAAGAGCTGAGGTATAGCATTTAGGAGAGTAGACAAGAAAGTGAGAATTATGGAAGATCCAGGAAGGAGTATGGGAGGGGGGTGAGTGGGAGGGGGGTGAGTGAGAGGAGGAGAGAGTTTAGAGGGGATGGAGGTAGGGAGGTAAGGAGGAAGAGAGGGAGGGAGGTAGGGAAGAAGGGAGGGAGGGAGGAAGAAACTGAAAAAGAGAGAAAGAGGAAGAGGAAGAGAGAGAGAGAGAGAGAGAGAGAGAGAGAGAGATGGGGGGAGGGAGGGATGGAGGGATGAAGAGAGAAAGAGAGAGATGGAAATATAAACTTTTTTGCATCTCCAACTTTACATAAGGACAGTGAATATTCTCATTTTCTTTTGAAAATGGAAGTATTTCTTTTCACACAATATGTGCATCTCACACTCACAGTATTTTTTAAAGGTCACTATCTTGACCCTCAAAGGTGTTGAAGGAAGACCCAGCTGATAAAAATACAATAATCATAAGGAGCTCTTCCTGTACCGATGCTCTAACCAAACTGGTAAAGCCCTCGTAAACACGAACATCATGGCGAATCTTCAAAGGCACTTATGGTAACGCCTAATTAGCCACCTGGCTCAGTATTATTAATCATGCATTTGTAATGTGCTCTACAGACATAAATATTACACACGTGATCAAAGAGTAAAGACATATTCTTGAGGGAATTATACCCTAGCTGAGTGTTGTGGAAGAGACACCTTGTTATCTGCGGTTCAACGACTTTACCAAAAAAGGGTCAACCAAACGCTATTCATATTGCTGGAGCTACATGTTAGCAGCTCTACTTTTTCAACACTTTCTCCCATCCCATTTAAATATTTTAGACAACCAAGTTAACCCCCTGACACCTTGTTCCAAGACATCTTTGGCAGAGGTCCTTATAAAAACATGCTTTACAAGAAAACCAAATTTGTTTGGTTTAAGATAACAGAGCATATCATATACAGTAGGCTTGCGGGTGCACCATGTGAAAAAGAGAGAGAGGATTGAGGACTCCTGAAAAGGACTCTGACTCTGTAAACTTTCTTGGGGGTGTGTAGCATGTCATATATTGCACAGTATATTGGATTCTAGCCCAATCGCGTAATAACGTACCTATTACACACATGATCGAAGAGTAAAGACATATTCTGGAGGGATTCTTCCCCTAGCCGGGTGTTGTGGAAGGGACACCTTGTCTTCTGGAGGTCAACGGCTTGACCCAGTAAGGTGTAGAGACGGCGGGGAGGTAGCATCACAGACGCAGGCAAGAACGCTGTCGAGGAAAGATCGATCGAGATTGAGGGGGAAAAAAAGAGATTTAATCTTTCTGTGCCATGTTTAAATTCTACAAGAGTTATAATCTTTGGCAAGGCATTAATCTACATTTGCTACTCTATACCTAGGAGAGAAGTGGGGACCTGGTAGGATGATGAAAGCCTTAGTGATTGTAATTGCCATATGCCCTCTCGGTGACCATATGGTAGGAATCCTCCCCAGGGAGTGGAGATGGTGCTCACTATGCGTGAATGGGTCTAATGACTGTGGTTAATAATATCTGTTAAGCGCTTAGAGACGGTATTTTATATTATTCGCTATATAAATCCAGATTATTATTATTATCATTATTATTAATATTATTATTATTATTGAACAAAAGGTAACATTTCAGACAATATTATCTGAATGTTAGTGATAAAACAGGCATAGGGGGAGGACATACCAGATCATGTATTGCACATATAATTTATAACTAACTTGATCAAAGACATGAGAGAACCATGTTCGTAAAATACAAATGAGAATGTACAAATTGTACCCAGAAACAAAAACAAAAAGGAAACAGAGGTATGTTTGATCTATTACTAAACTGTCAAACACTATTTCATCGATTTTAGATTCTCACTTTTGAAAGTTCGTGAAAGTTGAGAAAAAACATATACTTTCAATGTCAATCTTTGAGGAGTTCTGATAAAATTACAACATCGCAAACATCCTATGCCTTCAACTTCAACAACATCTTTTTGCATGTGCTGTAATAACATCTGATGTGACTGATTAACCATGCTGCTATGTTAGAAGAAAACAAAAACAAAGTAAATGGAATCAAGCAATTTCTTTGCTCTCATTTTGTAGGTAGAATTGGATCCCTTGTAGATATCTTCCATGATAAACATCTCATCTTGGTCTAGATACTCACATTGAAGCTGTTCCATGAGTTTGCCTCTGGATTCTGGCCCTTTGCCAGCCCAGCTAGCTTTCTCTCTCAGCTCGTCTTTGTTGGCGCACATTAAGAACCTATCAAACAAAAGAAATCATAATAGGCTATTAAAGTGTATGATACCAAATACCCTAAACAAAATTGTGTACATCAAAACCTCAATAAACTTCCCCTTCATTCTATGGGCTAACGGATAAGGAGAATGAAGAAAATAAGAATAACATAAAAACGTGCATACGGAACCCAAGTGGGACTTGGGTTCTGTGGGGACCCTATTTTATGTGAGTGTGTACGGGTGCATCAGTAATCAACGCACAAGTCGATTTGTGTTATTCCAAAGAGCATTGAAATTAGGAAAATCTCTTTACAGAAGAAAAGTTAGTTCTTAGCTGACTCTTTCATGTAACTACCTTTTCATATCATCCTTTGTATCAGGCCAGAGCAAGTATAAAATCAGTGGTATAAAACATTTGTTTACCTTGATATTGCTTGGAACATTATTAAGAATTCAATATACCCTACAGCAATTATATTTCATAGGGATGAGGTGGCATCATTTTACTGATGGAATGACTTGCATGGTTCTTTACATTCGCAAGTCACAAATACTCTATCGATAAGTGACTGTTTCAGCTTTTCAAATGTACATGTAGAAAACAGCAACTAATTTGTCCATCCCATCGGTAAGAGGAAAAACAACAGACTGTACATGTTCTTTAATTGCTTGCTGGAGTAGTTGTTATTCTTCATGTCATGTTTTGATGGTGTTGTTAAGGCACACAATAACATTACAGCTGTAATTGAAACTTCCTCTTTGCACTCAATAATGTAAATATGTACATATTGTAACAGAGTATACATGTGCTGGTACTTGTATAGATATAACTGTCCATATGATAACCATAATGTATGAAGAAATCTGCAATGAAGTCTCACTGGACTGCAATTTCATCAAGAAATAATGCTCAAATCTGGTCAAAGATGAAGAAAGTTGCAAACTCTTTCTTCCTTTTAGCCAAATTTTCTAGAGTTAATTGGAACAGCAATATAAAAAGAGCATCCACATCCAGATACCAGACACACCAACTGAGGCAGACAAACTATGTTTCTCCTGAACTCTCATATCGCCCTTCCCCCTAGATTATTATAGCATTCTCTATCTCACCCGCTAAGTACATGGACCCGATCCGTGTTGTATTTGAGTGGAGTGAGTTCCTTGCGGAGACAGTCCAAGGCTTCAATGATGGACCCGTCCTCAAGAAGCTCCAGAAACTTCTGCTCCAGGATCAAGAACCTCATCTTCTGCACGGAGGAAGACACAGTGGAAAATGAAAAATAATGTCAATGTTATCATGATAAGAACAAATATAAGGGTGCAAAGAGGGACAGACCTCTGGAAAGCTCCAGAAATTTCTGTTCCAAGATCAAGAACCTCATCTTCTACACGGAGGAAAACACAGTGGCAAAGGATAAGTGATGTCATTATCATCATGATAAGAACAAATATGAGGGTGCAAAGAGGGACAGACCTCTGGAAAGCTCCAGAAATTTCTGTTCCAAGATCAAGAACCTCATCTTCTGCACGAAGGAAGACACAGTGGAAAAGGATAAGTGGTGTCATTATTATCATGATAAGAACAAATACAAGGGTGCAAAGAGGGACAGACCTCTGGAAAGCTCCAGGAATTTCTGTTCCAAGATCAAGAACCTCATCTTCTCCACGGAAAAAGACAAAGTGGAAAAGGATAAGTGATGTCATTATATTCATGATAAGAACAAATACAAGCCTGGTGTGAAGAGGGATGGGGCTCTGGAAACTCACGGTGATGTTTTCGATTAGTTACAGCCAGTCTTACTTTATTCTACATACATGTATGCTCTTTTGTCATGATTGTGTAAAATTTGCAACGTTTTGTTTGTTGCATATTTGTAAAACTGCAAAAGAAAAAGAAATTCAAATAGAAATAAAGAAATCAAATCAAATAATTAGCAATTTAAGAAAGACCTCATGAACTCTCTGTCGGCATAGAATGGGGTCTTCCAGCATGCATAGATTACTGAAGTTTTTAGCTTGGCCGAGTACCGTAAATCTCTGTGTATAAGGTGCACCTGTGTATAAGGCGCACCCCTATTTTGGGGAAGAGAAAAAAAGAAAAGAAAAAAAAAAAAAAATTGTTTTTTGTTTTGTTGATGTTGTTGTTTTGTTGCCGAAAACCCACGCGGGAAAGGACCTTCATTTTACATCGAGGTGCAGTTGAAGTTGTGAACTTGTCATAAATAAAAGTAACAACAGTCTAAGGCTTCATGATACCAAGTGTCCCACACCAGCCTCATCACATCACCTAGCAGAAGCACTGTGTTCTATGCCAAACATCAATAGTCATGCATGATATGAATAGCATCCTCTAAATTTCTGACAATGGGGTACCTAGGATAGAACCTTGTGGTACACCATTTGTTATAGAAAAAAAAAATTGAGGAATTATTATTATAAACTACATATTGAGATCTATTAGAAAGATTACTTTCAAACCAAGATGACAGACAAATTTGAGTGTTGTTGTAGTTTCTGAGTGGTAAGTCAACACACTGTTTACTGAGCTAGGAGATATTGCCAGGCATAGCGCCATAAATCGAAACTAAAAAAAAAAAAAAAAAAAAAATTCTGTACCTGTGTATAAGACGCACCCTCGACTTTCAAATTTTTTTCGGCAGCAAAAAAGTGCGCCTTATACACGGAGATTTACGATTTATATTGTGATATATGTAAGATTCCAAAAGTAATATTTAACTAGATGGAATTCGACTGCGCGCAGTCGAAAATGATGCCTCCATCATAGAGCAATTTTACAAACCAAAACAGAAGAAATTGTTCGAATTCAAGTTCAATTGTAATCCATTGACAGGTTCTCAGAATATCGTGATTACAAGCAATTTCTCATATACATATATGACCCTTTGATCTTTGACCTCATGACCCTAAAATCTACTCAGTTCATTGGCTCTGCAAGATGTCCTGAGTTAAATAGTAATCCATCTGTCAGTTCTAATGAGAATGCGTTCACAAGCTATTTTTGCATACATAATGAGCCCATGACCTTTGACCTTTGACCTTATGAACCAAGAATCTACTCAGTTCATTGGCTCTGCAAGTAACATACATGACCTAATTTTGGCAGGAATCCATCAATCGGTTCTTGAGATAACGCGATCACAAGCTGTTTTTGCATACATAATTTGCGCTGTGGCCTTTGACCTTTGACCTCATGACCCTTAAATCTAATCAGTTCATCGGCTTTGCAAGTAACATACATGACCTAAGTTTGGCGGAAATCCATCAATCGGTTCTTGAGATAACGCGATAACAAGCTGTTTTTGCATACATAATGTGCGCTGTGGCCTTTGACCTTTGACGTCGTGACCCCAAAATCTAATCAGTTCATTGGCTCTGCAAGTAACATACATGACGTAAGATTGGCAGCAATCCATCAATCGGTTCTTGAAATAACGCGATCACGAGCTGTTTTTGCATACATAATGAGCCCTGTGACCTTTGACCTTTAACCTCGTGACCCCAAAATCTAATCAGTTCATTGGCTCTGCAAGATACATACATGACCAAAGTTTGGCAGGAATCCATCAATCAGTTCTTCAGATAACGCGATCACGAGCTGTTTTTGCATACCTAATGAGCCCTGTGACCTTTGACCTTTGACCTCGTGACCCCAAAATCTAATCAGTTCATCGGCTCTGCAAGATACATACATGACCAAAGTTTGGCAGGAATCGATCAATCGGTTCTTCAGATAACGCGATCACAAGAACGGGACGTACGTACGTACAGACGTACGTACGTACGTACGGACGGACAACCCAAAAACATAATGCCTCCGGCTACTTCGTAACGGAGGCATAATAAAAAGCATACAAATTGTATGTTTCAGATTTTATTTGAAGAAGTCAAGGGAAATGCTATTTTCCATAAATGCAAGGAGTTTGTTCTACAGGCATGGGGCAATGGATTCAAAGGATTTGAAGCCAGTCTGTTTTTGAGATTTGGGAACGATTTGAATCAAGTTCGAGGAAAAAGTAGTCAATCTTCCACTGATTATTCAGTACATTGTGTTGAAATTATAATCGATCAGGTTTTTTAGGCGACATTAATATTGTGATTTCTGATCCATCAAAATACATTCAGGTTTTCTCAAAAAAGGTTGTCATGGTTACCTTATCACCCTGCGGGCATTCCATCAGTGACTTCAACTCCTCCAGATCCTCATCAGCCTGTAAGACACAAAAATGAAGAGGTTAATTAAATCAAATCAAATCAAATCAAATCAAATCAAATCAAATCAAATCAAATTTCAAGCACAAAATGATGAATGATGAACCCTTCAAATAATGAACAATGGACATAAGAATTTTTCGATTATTTTGTCATAACACAATCAAAAGCAAGGAAATTTGAAAGCAATTTCAAGTCTCATTTCAAATTTTCAATTTATTATTTCATTTACAATGAAAAGACAAGTCAATCAGGCCAACTAGAAAAGGGGGAATATTGAAATGTTTAATTTTGCTCATATTCTAATGCTGATTTCCTTAGTTCAAACACCTTTACAATGTTACAGAAAAGAGTCAATTCAAATGAATTCCAAGCACGTTTCATTATAACAACAAAAAAGGGAGAAACGAACAAAGAAACAATTACAATGTATCTTATGTTTATTTTTTTTCTATGTCATCAACCTTTTTCTTGCTAGCAGAACTTTTTTCTAATAAAATGTTATTTGTGTTTTCATGATTCTCACAACATGCAACACCTCAACGCTTCAACACATCACACATATCGCTCTCTCTAATTTCATCGCTGATTACACCTTCCCTCACTCGCACATTTCACAGCAATTATTTCCCCCCTACTGATGTGAACCATAAAGTGATACAATCAGGATCCAGGAATATAGGCCTGTCTTCATCAGCTCGAGTTTGCCAAATAACCCGCTATTTTCAGACTCGGGATATTATCCCGAAGCTCGAAAATGCACCTTCACCAGACCAATACGCTCATCGCAAACTAGCTCGGGCGGTTGCAAATTAGCCCACTATATTTCCCAAATACATGTAGCGGGATATTTTGGAAACAAGACCAAGATTTCTCTATTTTTAGGAAGACGCAAATTAGCTGGATAATTTGAAATCGGAATAGTTAAATTAGCGGGGTTATCTGGCAAACTAGAGCTGATGAGGACAGGCCTTATGGGAAGCATTCAGACCCCCTTCCAACAAAAGGTGAGTGTGGAGCTCTGGTTGATGTATTCATTTCTCAACATCGATTTTTCAATCAAGGTGGCCACTGAATGTTTAGTTTCGATGGTATTATATAAAGGGCATCTCCCAGACTAGGAAGGATCAAACAACGCAGAATTTAGTTCTAGGACAGTCGAAAATTCAATGTATGCCTATTTCTTCTATGCTTTCAAACAAATATTCATGTATGTTAAGCTCTTTCACACATCAGAAAACATGAAATTTGATTCTAGTCTCACTTTTCCTGCATGTTTACATTTGAGATATTAATTATCAAACAGATATTCTCATCTCCTTTCGGCTGAGATTTGTGCACACAAATCCTTGGAAGACAAACACAATAACTCACACTGTCAAGATTTGAATTGCAATCAAAATCACACTTTTAATCACAGGTATTGAGTTTTTGTTCACACACAGCACGCACACACACAAAATGTGTGATTCAGATTGCGATTAAAAAAATCAATTGATATACCTCAAAATTGGTTGTATGTGTGAACATCCATGAAAGAATTTTTTTCCTTGCAAGCAATAACAGTGGTTAAACTCTGGAAATGGTAATTTAATTTAGTTTATAAATTCTTAACTCATGATATGAATATTTCATAGAGTTATTACAATTAATTTCTAGTCCTGGTGCAGAATTAGTGCACATCAAGCATGTATGGATATTCCACATAAAAATAATTGAAAATGAATTCTGACTGAGAAGTTGAACACGAAAAAGATTACTAGGAGATCAATTAAAAGCCTTTCTTCAAAAAGAAATGATCCCATCTTTTTCATGTACAACATGTACATTCCCTGGCAGGCAATAAATCAGATAAATTGACTCATGTTAAAGCCTTGCAATACAAGTAGGAAACATAGGCCACGCCTCCATATTCACACACTTCTTTCCTGTGCACTGTTAATACATGTAGTCACTGCATGATTACTCCGTGTTTGCTTTACATGAATGAATATTACGTCAATATCTTTCTGAAATGCCTTAATTACCCCCTCAATTTAGCATTTTTTTCACTTCAGTTCAAGTGCAATTTCATTCTAGTCTACAAATTCAGACCCTTCTCTGACATAGAAAGAAAATTCAGGACAACTTGAACCAAGCCTAAATCACTACCATAATATTTACAGGTCCTTTTACATGAGGGAAACACTTGTATAAGTGTACGCACAGGTGTGAAATACCATCATTTGGTCTAAGGGGTATAAAAAGATGTTAGTTTATGGAAGGGGGCAGAACGAGTGGTTATAATAAATAAGAAGAAGAAGAAGAAGTAGTATAATAGTGGGTTCTTGTATCTAGCAATCATGTCTGTCAGACTTGCCACTCCTGGCACTCCAAAATTGTGAAATGGTTTCTGAAGGCCTCCAAGTTATGTAACATTTTTACCAACCAAGATTCTTCAATCAAATTTGTGATTAAAATGATACTCAAATCTCCATTCGTCTTGACATTCTTGTTTAATGCACTGATCCCACTGTCTCTCAAGCAACCATGGCACACACCAGGCATCACTCACTATTCACTCTTCAATGTTGCCTGATTATACAAATTACTGCTATACGGTAATCATAATGTTCAAACAACAAGAGAATTATGGTTTATACCGTTACATACTGTAGTTTTTCAAGTCTGAATATTAAAGTCACTATGAAACTAAATCGGAAGGCTGCTCGGAGGCCTACAGGTACCATTTCAGAAGTACCCAGAGAACAATCCCTCGATCATGTCTTTCTATAAAGAGACGATCAGCCTGCATTCTTCTAACATGTCAAGGGTTTGTGCCACTGTAATTATCTACTCCAGGTTAATTTGTATTCATTAAATTAGGCTGGATGTTAACATTGTATGAATACACTGTACAGTAGGTGTAATTTCTGCTTCCATCAAAATTACACTTTATCTTTTTATTACAACCATAAAAAGTGCAAGGTGCATTCACACTACAAATGTTGATGCAAATTTAGACAGGGAAATTTTCAAACACATACAGAAGTACCCAGGACAAAAATGGCAACAGAGAATGAACCTTCATGTCCTTTTGAGTGTTGGTTTAATAACCTAATTCAAATGACAAGGGGTTTGTGCCTATGCAATAATCGTATTCAGGGTAACTAATTGGCATTCAGATCATTAGGCTTGTGTATGCTGCACTTGGAGTGTCTGCTCACATACAGTAATTACCCTTTATAAAAACCATTAAAAAATGCAAGTAGGCATCACACCGCAAAATTACACCAGATCAATTTTAATCACATACAGTACGTGTAAAAAGCAAATGTGTGTGAATATTGATTACATTATTAGTGAATACGGTATTTGTAATTGGATATACTGTAGGGGTAAAACAAAAATAAGTTATTATCGGCTCCATCATCTGTATATTTTTAGTAATTTTCAAAACATTCAGACCCCAATACAAGCTTAAGTTATCAAAAAGTGCCAGACTTATTTAATGTATTCCTCAATACACCATTCAGAGTTTTCGTTAGTCTTACATGTAGATGTAATACGCTAACTTCTAAAGGAATGCAAACAATCAAATATGGAAATTCATCCATCATCACATCAAAATATAGCTGTATTAGAGAAGCAATGATTCAATATGGTGCATCAAGCTCATTCAGAAACATATCCAAATTTAATCCAATTAATACACATCCAGACAAATGGGCTACACTCCCAAATCATTCTGAATTTCCAGAAATAATGAGAATATTTCTTTTTCTACGGTGGGCGAAGGGACTCTAATGTATTCAATCATTAGACTCTTTACCAGTCGTTTCATATTTAAGATTAATTGCGTTTTCTCCGTCTCGCTTCTCTCAGACTACATGTAGTTGTTTTCACCATTTCTTCATAGTATCATACCAGACATATTCCATTTTCCATCTGTTCTAATCTAAGAAAGTCCAACAACTAAATCTAAAAAAAACAATTGTCTGCTTTCATTTAATTTCAATGAATTTGAATTTTGAAAGAAAATCAAGAGACCAAAATTCATTCTTATAATGAATACTTTTTTTCAAGACAAGCCAATACCGGTAAGGTTTTATGAGCAAAATTTAATGTTATACACGTACACTGTACAGGTTACCTCTTGTTAAATGCCTTAAAAGGCCTATGGATTTTTTTCAAATGCAAAAAAATATATATATAATTGATAACATTATGTACATGTAAAAACAAGAGGAATCTCTTCCACTTGTTATTACAACAAACAAGGGAAACGCTCTCGGCGGTCTCGCCTGCATAACGCAATTCAATATGATAAACCAGAACGTCAATGACGTAGCGCTCATCCGCATCTCGCAACAACAAATATCGTAAATTTTATGTGGTACACTTTTGAACTGGTCAAAAAATAAAAATTTGATGCCCTGGAAGGGACATAATTTCATTTCATTTGCATTAAGTACCATAAATAATCAATGGAACAAAATCTCACAATTCTGTGTAGAAGTTTAGTGTTCCAAATTTAGCTCTACCAGATAAGGCAAACCAAATCAAAATCGGTCAAGAAATGAGGGAAAAGAAGCAATTTTTGTTATTTTTGGAATAAATTTGCATAAATTACCATAATTAATTAATGGAGAACAATTTCAAAATTCTGTGTAGAAGTTTAGTGAACCAAAGTTAGCTCTACGATATAAAGCAAACCAAATCAAAATCGGTAGAGAAATGAAGGAGAAGAAGCCTTTTTTGTGGTTTTGAATAAATTTGCATAAATTAGCATAGATAATGAATTTCACAATTCTGTGTAGAAATTTTAAATCCCCCTCCTAGCCCTATCATATCAAATGATCAGAATTAAAATCGGTTGAAAAATAACGAAGAAGAAGCATTTTGAAAATCTTGATGTTGATGCCACAACAAAGTCTAAGTTTGTTGACCTTAAATGACCTTTGACCTAACCTTAGTGACCTGAAATTCTACTCACATGATTGGGGAGACTTGATAACCC